TCAGTGCAATCACATTTAAATAATTACTATAGTCATCTCCAAATTTATACAGATGCATCAAAAATTGCCGGAAAAATAGGAATAGCGTGTACAATTCCAGAATTTAATGTGAATATAGGGAAGCGAATTACGGATGGGTTATCAATTTATACAGGTGAAATGTTAGCAATACTATTGGCTTTACAATGGATAGAGGATGTAAAACCACTGCAAACAATAATTAGCTCAGACTCAAGCTCAGCTTTGATAAGCATAAAATATAATAATACGGAAAGTAGGATGGACATCTTGTTAGAAATATATCATAATCTACTTAGAATACAAAATATGGGGTTAGTAGTAACATTTGTGTGGGTTCCAGCACATATAGGGGTAGTAGGAAACGAGAAGGCTGATAAAATGGCAAAGAAGGCAATACATAATCCTATTAGTTTTGCAGTTAGGATGAGTAAATCTGAAGGGAAAAGTAAAGCCAAAGAAGAGCTGATGAAACTATGGCAGAGAAGGTGGGATGAAGGGTTAACAGGAAGATGGTTTTATAAAATTCAGAAGTTTGTAGGAAGGAAAAAAGGGAAGAAGAAGCAGGAAGGAGGAAAGAATAATAACAAGGTTAAGGTTCGGTCATACAGGGCTTAATTATTCACTTTTTAAAATACAGAAGCATAAAACTGGGAAATGTGATTATTGTGAGAAGTTTGAAACAATACAGCATGTTATTTTAGAGTGTTATAAATATGAAGAAGAGAGAAGATGCATGTTGAGAGAGTGAAGGTATTAAAGAAAGGTTTAATTTAGCAGAATTTTTGAGGAGAGATTTGGGAAGTAGACACATATTCAAATAATTATTAGGTTTCTTTAAAAAACAAGGTTGTGTCTTAGAATCTGAGTACAGCAAGATGGTTGTGAATGTGTAAACAATAACAAGGAATAGTATATGTAAGCTATATGCAAGCTAGATAATATAAGTAGGTGTGTATGTGCGAATGTATATTTAATCAGAAGTTATTGTAGGAATTAGGTATGAAGTGAAAGTATATAGATCATCACAAACCACACTCCATACCAGTAAGTGGTGGTAATGCTACTAAAGGTTTGTTGCCAACCGCCAATAAAAACCAAGAAGAAGAAGAAGAAGAAGAAGAAGAAGAAGAAGAAGAAGAAGAAGAAGAAGAAGAAGAAGAAGAAGAAGGTGTTAATTAGATGCAAGAACAAAAAAACAACATCCATCTTGGATATGTAACAGATGAATAGAAAGAAAGTTAAGTTTTCTTTTGACTGGAGTCAAAGCTAATAATGTACAATTACTCAAAGGTATAAGATTTGTTATTATAAGACCTGTAATTTTAAAATATAATAATTATGCTGTGAATTATACAATGTCAACAGAAGGGTAGCATTCAAAGGTTATACTCCTCAAAGGTTTAAACTCTATTTCAAGATATATGCAAAGGCAAGATGTTTTTGTTTTAGCCTTGTCTGCACTTGTGCTTTATAGCTCTTGGATTGGAGTGTCCAATGTTCTGATAGATTTTAGAATCTGTGTGAGAGAATTTGATAACAAGCAGGTTTCTCATCACAAGGGAGAACCAAGGAAAGGTCTAAAATGCCGAAACTCAACAAAGCATAAACTAAATATTATCTGTAATTATACAACAGTTGTTTTAAGCATTTGGCTGTGTTTTTTTGTGATTATTGGTAGAGAGTGTTTGATCACTGAGTTATTTGCAATTTTTTTTGCCATTCTTGTAAAACAATATATTAGTGGTTTGTTCCTATAGATAACATGGTTTGTAATGTGATTTTTAATAAACAGTTCAACAAAATAATGTATTTTTTTACTCCCATAGGTGACGCCTCAGTCAGAGCAGAGGATGTAAAGGTACACTCTAAGACACATATTCAGCCTCTGTTTTTTCTAAATTTTCTGTCATTGAAGGATTTGTTGACCTGAAGAAAAGAAAAACTGTAAGTCTTGCATTTACCTAAACACAAGTTTGAAGTGTCTTGCCCAAACACACAACAACAGAGACAGACAAGGAGGGAGTTTGAAGCGGCAACAGGCTACAGGATATCAAACACTATCCACAGTATCTTTAGTCAAAACCTTCCTCAGACCCACTGCAAGACAGACTGCTAGACACCATCTTATCTGTCTTTAAAGGTTTTCATATACAATATGTTAAAAAATATAGAACTACAAAACATTTAATTTCTCTTAGAGATCAATAAAGTATTTTATTAATTAAATGTTGAATTGCAATGATCCAAGTCATTCATTTTTTAAAAAGTATTTTCAACCAAACAAGAAATGTATATTTATTTATTCTATTTATTTATTTACTAAAAAAACTTTTAAAAAAATACTTTAAATTCATTTTTCTTGCATCTGGCAACAATACATTATTTTGCTGAACCTGAATGACCTCAGATTGGAAAGGTTTCAATACAGTTTCCACAGGAAACTACTGTACTTTCAAAGGTTTAATAGACCCAATTTCAAAATCTTATACGACACATTTCTTGTTTGCTCATTGTTCCCAGTTTTGTTTTTCAGCCCATAGATTTGAGTTGGAACCCCTTCTCCTGTGGCGGACTGCACATGTTCTGTCCCACACTTGTGGAGAAGCTCAGAGGACAGCAGTGTCCAATCACCACACAGTTTCTATCGGCATTGGCTCTGTGTCATACCGTCATGGCAGAGTGGAAGGAGGGTGAGGACTTATGTTTGTTCTTAGCTACTTCAACAATCATTCTCCAATAGACAATAATAATGTATGTTGTTAGTCTTCACCTAACCTCATGTAGTTTCTACAGATACCACGTCAGTATGTTTTATATTTATCTATTAAAGGTGCTTGATTAACTAACTTTCCTCCTTACTATATATCAGCCCTTCTAGTACAGGGTTTCTTTATATTTCTGTAGTAATATTGAGTTGTTACACTTTGAATACTAACTTTAAAATGTTATGTTGAAAGTGAAATATCTTAATAATCGATAGTTTTTAAACAGTCTCAGATTTATAGAGATCTTCACATATTAATCTTGGAGTGTTATATTTATCGCTGGACTTTGTGCATTGGCAATATTTTTTCAGAGTCCCCAGTATACCAGGCTGCATCACCGGATGAGGAAACTCTTGTTGGAGCTGCAAGGGAGCTTGGTTGGGTCTTTCTTTCCAGAACAAGAGACTTTGTTGTTATCTCAGAGCTGGGTGTCTCTCGACAATACCAGCTGCTGGCGTTGCTGGATTTTACCAGCAAAAGGAGAAGGATGTCTGTCCTTGGTAGGAGTGGCTCTTTAGTTAGATCAGATTTAAGTTTTTGATTCTGATAACATTTTCATTTGGCACTAAAAAATATACTTTTTTTCTGTTTTTACTACTTATAGTACGTGAACCAGAGGGTGGAATAAAACTGTATTGTAAAGGAGCAGACATAGTGATACTGGAGAGACTTGCAAAGAACTGCCCAAACCAGGAAAGCACTGAGAAAGCATTAGAGGTAAAGCAGTTGAATTTTGTTATTCATTCCTAAAATTCAAGTGGTTTTCCAACTGTGTGTTATGAAAATGTTTGCCAGCTATTGGAAATAAGGGTTTTATAATCATATTTGCCATCAAAATGCTAATGCATTGGATATGTAATATGTCCGATTGCTTTAATTTAACATTGGATATTAAAAACATTCATATATGGTGCCTTGAAATATTTAACTTTTCTTCAATTTATTGTGTGAGAGCCACAAAGTCTGTGGTATCCTATTAGCATTGTATGAGCTTGGCCCTTACAATGTATAATTTTGGGTTTGAGTGAAACAAAACATTATCCCGAAATACAGAGACGAGGATAAGCCCACTTTGCAAAACTACCCTTGGTGACAGAAAGCCATTAAAAGTCCTGTTTGCATTTTACCACAAGCTGCATACAGGATGGGGGGTCAAGAGATCAGAAGAGAGCAAAACTTAATTATTTGCCTCAATGCCATTTTCACTTACCAGTGGTAAGTCTGACGTAGTGGAAAAATTGCAAATCTTCTTTTGGAAAGTAAGCTTGTATGAGCGATGCAAACAGCAACTTTCAAACAGAGTGTGCATAAGGAGAAATTGGCTAATGCATGCTCTTGCACGTATTTAATAAAAGTTCCCTCTGTGGAGCAGGTACAGGCTTGTGCATGTACCTTTTTTTTTTTTTTTTTAAGTGGAGAGGGGGGGTCTTTTCAGAAAGTCGCAAAAATCCTCCACTATATAATTTTTCTACTTTTATTTGATGGTCTACACATCAGCAGTTTTAGTTGGACCCACTATCACAAGCTGGGAGGAGCTTGTGAGAGTTTACCTTGCGCTGCAAGCTGGATTGTCATGAGATCTGAGTTTTCAGACTCAGCCCAGTTCTACTCATATTAATCTGGCTAGTGCCAGGTCATGTGAAAGTTGCTATATCATACTGCAAAGAAGCTTTTCTTAAGGAGAGTTAAGTCCGATATATTAAAACCGTGTATGATTTTCCTCCTAACTCTATTTATTCTTCTTTTTCATTTTATTTAATTTGTGAATAATTTAGAAGTAGATGAATGTATCAGTGTTCTTCGTCACCATTATGGAACAGTTTACAGACCAATTTCTGCTGATCCGTCCCATAAAATTCTGATATAAATTATTCTAAAAGTTTTTAAATCTTGTGGTGTAAATGTTGGAAAATGTGGAAAAAATCATCAGGTATATATGCCTTTGTAAGACACTGTAAAGAACAGTTAAACACTGAATAATTATCAACACTTAATGATTAGTTGGATTTTCTGTCAAACCTCAGGTCTGTCCTTTTTTCCTTCACATTGGTTTTTGCTTTAAATATCACCCAAGGAATGATGTGCAGTCTGTTATAAGGCCTTATTAACTCATCTTCTGTCAGCTGTTTGCTGAGGCCTGTCTGAGGACGCTGTGTGTTGCGGTTCGATCCATTCCCGAGGCGTTGTGGGAGAAGTGGAGTAAGACTCTGGCTCTGTCTGCTGCCATGGCGACCTGCGAGCGTGACATCCTGCTGGAGAAGCTGTATGATGAGATGGAGAGAGATCTACTGGTGCCCTATGCCTCTGTTTCCTTCCATTTAAAACATGTTATTGATCTAGATAGTAATGATAGCCTAACCTTTATATTTTAGTTGAACACTTTCTATATTATTTTCAAGCAAATAAAAACTTTAGTTTTTAAGCATTTAAAATGTGAAATCCTGCTGAAATAAAACATTATTTGAAATAAAACAATGTTTTAGCTTCTGGGGGTCACAGCCATAGAGGACAGACTCCAAGAAGGAGTTCCTGAGACAATTGCTCTTCTTCAAGAGGCCGGGATCAAGGTATGGGTGCTGACAGGAGACAAAAAAGGTACGGTGACAAAGAATTTTACAAATTTTTCTCCGTAAATTTGAGAGGGAAAATAACAGTTGATAATATGCTTTTTTGCCCTTTCTCTTTGCTTCTTTTGCCAACAGAAACTGCAGTTAATATTGGGTACTCCTGCAAACTACTGGATCCTGATAGCAGATTACTAGAGTGGCAAGAATTGAGGTTCGGACTCATACACATGATATAAAATAAAAGCAAATAGCCTAGAAACACTCCCATGCACATACTCTTGGTATCCCATTGATCATTGTTTGTTTGCTCATGCAGGCAGATCCTCCAGTCTGCAGACCCACAGGTCAGCTTCTTCAAAGCCAAGCAGACAGAGCTGTGGGCTACACACAAGGAGATGGCAAGAGCAAAAACTTCTGTTGTCCTCACCGGATCTGAACTGGTAAACTGCAGCCTACACAGTAAATAAAAAACATATAAGGTTTTCAGAGTTACGCCTGATCATTTTTTTTCCCATCATTTTCTATTGAAAATGCGTGTTGTGCTAGAGACATTGGGGTTAAAGAGCTGGAAAATATAATACTTGTATTTTGGCTTGTATAAAATGTATTTTTATGAGACTTTTTTTAATCCAACATAAAAAAGTGATTTTCAGTTGTTTTAACTTTTCCTTGATGTAAACCATGTTAAAAAAAAAAACCTATTATGTTAAAAATATGATGTTAACAACTGGACAACAACAACTAAGAGAAGCATAAACAAAGACACCAAATTTCAATAGAAAGGTTCTATATCAGCAAGAGACAGGGATCAACCCTGGAGTAGTCATTTTGCAATTCAAAGGCTGTGAATTCAATTCTGGTTTTCTTCTATCACATATGAACCTTGGAGAGCAGTTAACTTCAAGTCACCTACAGTTTCTGTGTATTCTGGTTTGGGAGCGTAGTTGATTGGTTGGCTCTTCTGTCAACCATTTTGAGTGATTAGTATGACCAAAAAAACAAGCAAACAAACAGAAAAACTATAAATTAAGTCCTTAATAGTCCATAAAATAAGCATATAAGGAAACGTTGCTTTTAAAAAGCAAGAATGATTTTTGGTTCAGAAGTCCATGTCAAAGCTTTTATCAACTTCAGTTTTTTATTACCCTCTGACAAACTGTTTCCTAATTGTAGGAAAATAATGAAGTAAAACAAAACCCTAGAAAAATGAATAACAAAGTACTATGTATAAAACAAAACATGCAAACATCATATTTTATAAAATTGCAGCCATAATAGAACTTTTAGACAGACAATTGCAATGTTTCAAAAAATAATGCACTGTTTATTTCTTTATGATTACAGTCAAAATCTTTTTAATGACCTCTATCATTAGGGAAAAAAATATCATATTAGGTTCCCTGGTATGGCATGAAAGGTTTGAAAGGCCCCTAAAATAATGTTTCTATTTGTAAAAGCTAGACACCAACATATTAGCATGCGCAAACATCTTCCAACATATATCATAATATTACCTTATGTCTTTTCACCACATCTAGCACTTGGTGCCTGATCTTCAGAGGGTTTTTGTGTCCTTAAAATGGTACAAAGTCATTTCCGCTCACAATTCAGCTGAAAAAATTTACAAACTTTTTTTAGGTGTGTGCCTTTTTTCCCATATGTAGATCATATTTTAATGACCAAAGTGCACAAATTTGTGGATGGAGGAAATGCAAACATATAGATTTACAACGTGCAAAGCCATTTGTGGCTGCAGTTTTTGAGTCTTCTTTAGTTCTTCTGTAAGTCAGGTGCAAACTGAAACAAGATGGAGAAATTCTATGTGCATGTAAACATATATGAGCCGTTGAAAATAACAATTAGAATTGAATTGACAAGCAGAATAATCTTTATAAAGAACAAAGTCAGTGGGATGCAGTGGGACAACTGACAATCTTTATACAATTAAACCTCATTAAAAAAAAGAAGAAGCTAAATATTGATGCATGATCGTAAAAATAGAATGTCAAAAAAGCCTGCAAAGAGACAAGGGGGGTTGAGTGGATAAAACTGCATCTCAGTGATTTTTTCGCCTCAATTTGATAAAAAAATGCATCAAGCATGGTCACATTTTGTGGGGGGGTTATATATTTTTCTTCTGTTTGTAACACGTTGGGATAGGCTACCTACAAGAGATGCTCTCTAATATTTTTCAACATTATCATTATTACCTCCAACTACACAGCTTTGAACCTTATCTGTATTTTATTGCTAATCTCAAACTGCCAGAAGAAAATGCAATCTGCTCATTTTCATAGGCGGAACTAAACCGGATGCACATCTTAACATTTGCGCAGCCTTTTGTGGATCACCCGCAACACACCACTTATGGCATGTAATTTAAAAAAATGCATGTGCAATAAAGACAACCAGAACACATTTTTTACTTCTAAAACAAAGAATAATTAATAAATAAAAAAAAGAAAACCTTAAGGTAAAGCTGATTTAATGCCTGTAGTGCTTGTAAGAGCTGTTGCAAAGACCTACAGAGAATCTAAAACAGATGAAAACCAGATCTCCTGCATCATGTGTGTATCAAGTCTAAAGGCAATAATTGCATTGCATTGCTCAACATAGCCACAAGGGCTTTTAGAGATCCTTAGATGATTTGTTAAGGCTAAGCTCATTGCATCACTGTGTCAATAATGTAACCTGGCTATAAATTATGAAGGTTTAAATCTATCAAATGAAGGCTGAATGTATAGGGAATTGTACAGCTAAAATCTGCCATTGCTATTGCCTTTTGAATTTGGATATATAATATGCAAAGTTTAACTTTCTGCTAATTTGAATGAAAGACTGGGGAAAACAAATACATAACATCATACAGTCTTCTGCACAGATTCAACTTGAAATATGATCACAGCTGTGTAAACAGTAGAGAATAATAGAGGAAACCCACAACATAATGCTTCAAAGCATAATAGCTTTAGCTTGATTTATGATCATAATGCACAATTGAAAAATAATAGAGAAGAGCAGTGGTTGTATGGAAAAAGTCTGTTCAAGCCATTAACAACACAAAGCCAACATATGCTTTCCCTTCATGCTCACTTCATGCTCGGATTTCATTTAGACGATTGTCTAATACACATAATTTTGAGTTTGCACCTGTAAAATCAGAGGCTAGAGAATTAATTCAAACATAAAAAGCTAACTGTCCACTGATAGCCGTGCTACACCAGCCTAAGCAGTCCTGCTGTTTTTTTCCACAGCAGCCTGTCAGGAATTAAGAAATAGAAAAAGCTTTTTATTGGATGCATCATTAGTGACCATTCTTGAATACAAAATGAGACATCAATATTCGGTGGCATTTTTTAAAGCCAAAAAGAGGTATTAAAACCTAATAAATGCTTTAGCCAAGTTTCAATGCAATTCAATTCAGTTTATTTATATAGCGCAAATTCACAGCACATGTCACCTCAAGGCACTTTACAGTTCAACCAGATCATACAGTCAGATTGGTTCAAATTTTCTCTAAGGAAAACTGGTTAATTGCGTCACCTCATTGACTCAAATGCAATCCCTTACACTAAGCATGCTTGTAGCGACAGTGGAGAAGAAAAATTCCTTTTTAACAGGAAAAAACCTCCAGCAGAACCTGGCTCAGTGTGAGCAGCCATCTGCCAAGTCCAAGTGGGGTTCAAGGAGACAGAAGCATAAATACAGAAAGAAGCAGAGTTACAAAATGCAACTGTCAACAGGTGGCCCTGTCCAGGAAAGACACTGTTAGGCAGATGAGCTCCAAGCCAGCTTCAATGCCAGAGGATGAAGAGAGCACATCCAGCCAGTCACAGTCAGAGAAACAGGGCTACACTGAAAAACAGGCCAATCTCTAAAATCTATAAACAAAGGTCTTGATGGCAGCAGCACGGCTTATATTTCTCTCGAGGATGGTGTCACAACCAAACAGGAACAGACCAGATGAAGCTTCTATGAGAACAAGCAGAGGGAGCTAAGCGTTAGACATTGAACTAACAAATTCTGCAGAGTGGGGGATTAGAGATAGAATGAAGCAGAATTATGAAAAAGGGGTCCCTATGTCCTCCAGCAGTCTATGCTTGTAGCAGCATTACTATAGAGATAGCTCAGGATAACCTGGTCCACTCTAACTATAAGCTTTATCAAAAAGGAAAGTTTAAGCCTATAGTCTTAAAAGTAGGCAGGATGTCTGCCTTACGGACTAAAAATGGTAGTTGGTTCCACAGGAGAGGAGCCTGATAACTAAAAGATCTGCCTCCCATTCTACTTTTAGAAATTCTAGGAACAACTAATAAACTTGCAGATTGAGAGCGAAGTGCCCTGTTAGGAACCTAAGGAACAATCATATCTCTCATATCTCTTGGCAGATGGAGCTTGGCTATTTAAGGCTTTATATGTTAGAAGGAGGATTTTAAATTATATTCTTGATTTAACAGGAAGCCAATGAAGAGAGGCTAGGATAGGAGATATAAAATCTCTCTTTTTAATTTTCATCAGAACTCTAATAGGCATTTAACTACAGTTTGTGGACCTTAGTAGATAGTATAGAATTACAGTAGTCCAGTCTTGAAGTAACAAATGCATGCACTAGTTTCTGATGGACTAGTTTGCTGATTTAGCTACTAATTATGTTTGTCACATACAGGCAGAGTTTGAGGAGAGACCAGAATGGGGGGCCTCCTTCATGAGTGTGGCAGAACAGTGTCAATCAGTGCTGTGTTGCAGAGTGACGCCTGCTCAGAAAGCTGATATAGTAAAGTTGGTCAAGAAGCACACCAGCTCAATCACCATGTCCATTGGTGATGGTGCTAATGACGTCAACATGATCAAGAGTAAGTCTGCTGAATAGCAAATATTTGTTTATGAAGAAAGCCCAGGACAAATACTGCACTTATTTTATTATGTTTTTTTTTTTTACTTTGCTCTTCCAACACCAGCGGCTCACATTGGAGTGGGGCTGGCTGGTGTGGAGGGAGGTCAGGCAGTACAGAACGCAGACTTTGCAGTGTCCCAATTTAGGTTTTTACAAAGGCTGCTGCTGATCCACGGACGCTGGTCCTATCGCCGCATTTCCCTCTTCCTTTGCTACTTCCTGTTTAAGACCTGTGGTTTTGCTCTTGTGCACATTTGGTTTGGGATCTTCAATGGCTTCAGTGCTCAGGTTAGAAACATGCTTACAAAGCTGAACGACTTAATCTCCTAAAGCAGGGGTCTCCAAACCTGGTGTTCAAGAACTATGGTTCTGCAGATTTTAGATGCATCCCCGCTCAGACACAACCTATTCAAATGACTGAATTACCACTTCAGCATACCATCAGATTCAGCAAAAGTCTGGATGGTTTAAAACCTGCAGGACATCTTCAGGGTCATGGTTAGAGACCCCTGCCCTAAAACTACATCATGATATGAGGTCAACTTTTGAGATAAACCATTTTGTTCCCCACAGTCTCTGTATGAGACATGGTTCATCGCACTCTACACTGTCTTTTACACGGCAACGCCAGTGATGTGCATGGCCATTTTTGAACAGGTCAGTATGTTGATTTTATTAAGCAATTTAAAAGATAAATATGAACACAAAGAGGTTGCATATTTTTTGTGTTTTAGGATGTGAGTGCAGAGTGCAGCCTGAAATATCCCGAGCTGTACAAGAGTGGACAGAGGAAGGAGTTGTCCAGTCCTAGAAAGCTAATCATGCATCTCCTATATGCTGTCTACACGTCGCTTGTTCTCTTTTTCATCCCATGTGGAGTTTTCTACAACACAGCTTATGATTACCAGACCATGGCTGTTACGGTTGCAATGGCTGCCACCTTCATTGCCACAATTGAGGTAAGGATGACTTTTTTTCACAAGTAATGGTAACCTGTAATGACTTGTACCTTAAGTCAAACTCAATGGAAAAAAATAAGAATCATTAGTGTTGCACTAATACAATAACTTATTAGAGGTATCTAATGGGGTTGCAGTCTCACTTTTCTTTATTATTAAACCCCAATTTCAATGTATTCTATTTACATGTTATGTGACAAACTACCAGAAATGAAAGCATAAGTGTGAAGCTGAGGGAAAATTATAAAAGCTTGAACCTAGGCCTTAACTTTCATTCACCCTTTTTTGATATCCTTGAATAAAACAAAGCATTACGCTTCGCCTTCAAAAGAAACATATGTTTTAATAGAGTCCTACTGTGTGCAATTTAATCCCAGAATAAATACAGTCATAAAGGTAGGAATAGGGATGAAGTTATGTAAAAATTCAAAATATTTAAAAAGCTTAAATTGTATGTTTGGACAAGCTCATGGTACATGATTCAATCCATTCAATCCATAGACAGAGTAAGGTGCAGATTGTAAATTTACAAATACATGGCTGCCCACTTAAACTGACAAGCCAAATAAGGGGAGAATTAATTGTAGAAGTAGTCTACACGTCATTAGACCCATTTGGAAGAAGATATCTTGTTCAGATTAAACAAAAATGCATCTTTTTGGCAAATCTCAATGCCAAGAAAATGCCAAATAATATGTGTGTGAAAAAATAGCAACACAACATCTTATTCTAAAAAAGGACATCCTCATGGTGAAGCATGGTAGGAGTAACGTCATGCTATGGAGATGTGTTGCTTAACAACCTGAAAAGCTGATCAGGATTATTCAAAGAATTAAGGGAGAAAAATAATAGAGTGGCAAGGCTGTCATGGCAAAAGAAATGTCTGTCATGAGATTTAATCAGTAGTCTATGGTTATTTATTGTGGGAGATGCAACCACAGTAAATTAAGTCTTTCCATGGATGGCCACTCATCCTACAGGATGCCCACTCCTTTGATTGTTATCTGCTGTTTTTTCTCCTTTACTCAGCCATGACTTTCAGCATCTAATTTTAATAGCAAGTGCATTGATAAATTGCTGCAGTCTAAATTCTCCCATTATGCAATGTGACAGAATTTACTGCCAACGTTCTGTTTCCCAGTGTGACACATTCAAGTCCTGCAAGATTATTGAAATTATACATTATTGGGCACAAACATTAAAATTTAGCAAATAACATAACATCTTCACATGTAATGCTTTTACCTCTCATAGTTAGTAGCAACCGCTAAAGATAACTTCAAAAAGATGAGTAAGTCTTCTGGATGGGTCCCTCTCTCTTGAAATGTTTTGTCCCTTATTTAAGAAATTACTTTAATCTTAAGATATTAATGATTAGTTTATGTACTGTGTACAGAGCCTTTAGCAGACAGCATAAGACAAAATAAGAATAGAAGTGGGATTAAGCTGGTGGTTATGAATATGAATTAGCGATGTATGCAGACAATGTGATGGTGGCAATATTGGAGGTTAGGAAATCCTTCGATAATCTAATGGAAGAAATACAACTATATTGTCAACACTCAGGATACAAGCTAAATTCACATGAATCAGAGGTTATGATAATAGAGGAAGTGCACAATGAAATTAGAATTAAGTTGAATTTCAAATGGGACTGCGACCATTTAAATTACCTGGGAGTATATCAAAATCAATTGCGATAAATTAACAAATCAGGTTAAAGCTAAGTTTAGTAGATGGAAGATTCTGATCTTATCAGTGCTTGAGAAAATTAAATCTTTCAGAATGATTTCTTTGCCCAGATTCTTGATTATGTCTTAAACTTTGGCTAGCTACATACCACCCAGGTACTTTAAAGAATGGGATGACTTGATGAGAAAATTTATCTGGGATAATAAAGAAAAAAAAAAAAACACGGGTGAAACTTAAAAAATTTAAATTACCAATATTAGACGGAGGATTAGCACTACCAGATCTAGAGACATATTTTAAAGTAGCCCAGGTGAAGTCAACAATAACTTTTGACTCTAATAAGTGACTCTAATAATCCTAAATGACAAGAAATGGAAATGTGTAAGGCACGTTTAATCGAATCTTTTATAACTAAAGAGAAAGAACTTAAAGAAATAAAGTATAACTATTGTATAGGAAACAACATTAAGGTGTTGAAAATAATTATTAGATGCATGAATAAAGGGTTCACTTGAGAGAAATATTTAGGGATCCTGAATTTAAGAAGTATACAACAGATCAATTATTCAATAATCCATCCATCCATTTTCCGTCACGCTTATCCCAAAGGGGGTTGCAAGGGGTGCTGGTGCCTATCTCCAGCTTTCTAAGGGCGAGAGGCGGGGTACACCCTGGACAGGTCGCCAGTCCATCGCAGGGGAACACAGAGACAAACGGGATAAACGAACATTCACGCACGCACTCACAACTAAGGAGAATTTAGAGAAGCCAATTAACCTAACAATCATGTTTTTGGACTGTGGGAGGAAGCCGGAGTGCCCGGAGAGAACCCATGCATGCTCGGGGAGAACATGCAAAGAGTTTGCTTGGAAAATAATCATGATACATTATGGTACTTCATGACTCCAGAAAGTTTGAGTAAATATAAAAAGGTAAACTGCAAATGTTGGAGGAATTGTGGAGAGGAAAATATTAATTGCACAGAGATTTTCTATATTTGTAAAATAATACAACCTTACCGCAAAGAAGTATTTCAAATTGTTGAAGTGAAACTGGATTTGAAAGAAGAAAAAAATTATGTTAGGAAAAATCCAAACAGATATAAATTTATTTGAAAAGTATATTTTTCAGATACTAAGGATTACAGCTTTAAAAATCATAACAAAGGAATGGAAAAAAAAATAAATAAATATATATATATATATATATATATATATATATATATATAAAATAATTTAAATTGAATGAGAAGATAACTCACAAAATAAGGAATATGGACCAGGAGTTTAACAAAAAATGGTTTATAAAAAAAATGGAAAGTACATAAATATTGTGATATGGCCTTATGCAGCAACTGTTTATTATTTCTTAAGTATTTAAACTATGATTGAAATGGTTGAAACTATACCTAAAACATAATTGAAATACATTTAAATGATAATGGTTATTAAAATGTAATGTACATGTACTGACCTAACTAAATTAATACATAAATATAATATGTTTTACAATTAATGCTTATTGCTAAAATTGAAATCAAGGCCATTTATATTAAATATATTCTGTGAAAATGTCAAATGTAAACATAGAACATAAGGCAAAATTAACCAAACCCATTTCCTCCTCAGTAATTTATCACTGTCCTTTTATTTTTTATTTATTTTTTTCTGTTTGTTTCTGTTTATTTCTGTATAATAATTATTGTATATTACTTATTAAATTGTTGCTTATTATCTATAAAAAATTAGAAAACAAAGTTACAAAAAGATGTCATGATTACTATCTGTGATAACTCCCAAGTATAGTTGCAAAGCAAGGACAAAAATAAACATTTAGATAAAAATCTAGGATTTAGATATGAATACTTAGATATAAATTATAATTTATACTTGGTCCGACTTAATGTTAGAAAAAACATAATATATGTTAAAAAAAAGTGCACTTAATAGCAGAAATGCGATAGTGATTTTATTCACATTTTCGATTAATCTGTATTATTTATGTTATGAAATGCCTTTCACTGTGGAATTTCATCATTGTGTTTTCATCATTCTGTGCTGCCTTAACCAGGAGTTTTCAACTTGGTCCCCACTGTCCTGCATGTTTGAAATGTTGCTCTGCTTCAGCACACGTGACTAAAATCGCATTACATCCTCAGCAGCCATCTAGGGCTGTAGAGCTTTTTTAATCAACTATTTATTATGTATAAATGTAAGAATCAGCATTTACAGTTACAATAGAATATTTTGAGTAACTGGTAGATGCTTTGGGTTTTACAGATGAAGCTCACATTGCTTTTGCATATAATTCTGAAAAAACTCATTTTTAATCACAGCAACATTAATTGCCAAATTAAAAATAATGCAAATTCTAAAATGATTCAATAGATTCTTAAAAAAGACCAGACTCTTGTTTTCTAACTTTTTTGTTCGACCTAAAAGTGTTCTTTTATATTTTATATATGTTTTGAGCTTTGAAAGTTAATGATCCATATCCCCTCTGTCTAATGTATACTGTGATTTGTTTTGACTTTAGAAATACAAATCCATTAATTTAATACTCTATTTATCTGTGTTTGTTTTCATTGACAGATAAAGATTTTTCCACTGCCTGTCAAAGCATACAAACATTGTTGTCAGTAGCATTAACTGTTAGAATTGGCTCACAACTACTTTATCGTTTTTTTGTCAACCACATTCTGCTCTGTGGTGGGGTTTTATCATGCTGACCCTCTGTCTTACAGCTATACTATTTGTCCGTCTAATTATATTAATCTAAATCTGTACAACATTGTTAACATTTCCACAACAAAACCTCCCTTTCCATATTATTGTCTGCATTAATAAATAATGTTCAGTTAAAAATAGTCTTTCTCACTGTCTTTAAATCTTTAAATTAAGATTTTAGTAAAAATGTTCAAACATTCATCTACATTCATCTGCTCATTCTCATTTTTTTTTTTTTCAGATTGTTATGGTGACCAAATACTGGACAAAGTTCAGTATTGCAGCTGTTTGCGTCTCAGTGGTTCTGTTCTTTATCTGTACTAGAATCACTCACAGCACTCGGCTTTTTCAGAGCTCGCCTGCTGACTATTACTTCCTTGGTAATTTTATTTTCAAAGTATCTTCATTATATTTTTTTACTTCTTAATTATATATGATATTACCACTGAAATAGGATCATTTGCACTTCCATCCATCCATTCAGAGACTGAAGGATTTTATCTAAAATAGCAAAAAGAGAAAATGGCACTGCGACCATTTAAAGTACCTGGGAGTATATCAAAAAAAAGCAAAAAAAGAAAAACAACTGGTTGTGCAGCACAATTGTACATTTGAATTATTCTTCTGTTCATGGATAAATTAAGGTGAGATGTTAGTATTCCAGTTGCAAGGTTTGAAGCCTGTGTTTGTTTTTCCCCAGGTGTGTCTGAAAAGGCCTTCATTGATCCGGTTGTGTGGCTCACAGCTTTTCTCACAACTTGGACTGCTGTTCTGCCCTCGGTCACGGCTCACGCCCTCAATGTCATTCTCACTGTGCACAATAAACACAAGGTGAGGCATCAATCCGTATCTAGCAGCAAAACTTTCATTAAAAAATTTAAGGACATGCATTATCAATTTAAATGTTTTTACCTTGATGGTTTCAGACTTGCTCATTTTCATTTGGGTGTCAGATTTCATTTTTTAAATATGTTTCCATGACAAATGTCAAAAAGGAAAAAAGGAATAACAGCAGAAAACTCTATAAAGAAAAACACTGGACACACATCATCTGAGAATAGAGTCAACAGCTGCCAGAAAGAGATCTTACTAATGGCCACCTAACCATTAGGTCACTGAAATATCAGGATGATTTTGTGGTTAAAGGTATAGTGGAGGATTTTTGTAAATTTTTGAAAGGACCCGTCCTCTCCATGTTTAAAAAAAATGCACATACACAACACCAGTTCAGGGAACGCATATTAAATGCGTGCAAGGGCCAATTTCTCCTTATGCACGCTCTGTTTAAAAGTTGCTGTTTGCATTGCTCATACAAGCTTACTTTCCAAAAGAAGATTAGCAATTTTTCCACTATGTCAGACTCACCAATGATAAGTGTAAACGGGGACGAGCACTTATCATTGGTGAGTCTGACATAGTGGAAAAATTGGCCTTACGTAAACATATCAACAGAATGATTGACAATTAGGAGGACCACTTATTTTGATGATCCACTATACCTTTAAATGTTAAACTAAGATGGAAGTTCATACCGTGGTTTGGAGTTTTCTAATCAACAGTTTTAAAGTGTTTGGTTGCGAGCCCAGCCTGCCTGTATTTTCTCACAGTAATTAAAACAATTTTAGTTGGAAAAAAAAATTAGGGCAGAAATCATCAAGTTGATGTTTTCCTCTCGCGATCATTGTCTTTCTGTTACACACCAATGTCCAGAGTTTTGTTTCTTTTTATTAGCAAGCTGTTCAATGGTTTTGTAAAATCTGCCTGTAAAGGAAAACAGCTAAACGTTTTGTTTAGTTTTTTTTTATGAATATTTACTTTTTGTACACATTGGGCAAAAATCTTCATTTGAGTATTTTAGGTATCAAAACCTTAATCTAAGGACAAAGCCATTAAAACTAATCCGAAACCTCGAGTTGTTAGAATGGAAATCACAATACTGGGAATAAGATAAATGAAGTCTTTCATGCAACTAATTACTGAGGTTAATATCTGGTAAGACTAGTTATTAATTTATTTAAGTGAACATTACATGTCAGAAATCTTTTTTTTAACTAAAGGATATACATAAATGTTAAAACTTCAGTAAAATTAATTTTCTTTAGTGAGAAACTTTGTGCTCAAAAACACACACAGTCGCTCCAGTGGCTGCTGCTGAGTGTCAGAAGTTATCCATCGTAGCCATGGAAAGAGTTGTATTGGGTATACGTTTCCATTGAGGCAATTTTTCAACGTTAGAAACCATGAAAGTAATTCCCCACTACCTTTTCAGTGAGTATAAAAAACTCTGCCTCTGTCATCTGTTTTGTTTTGTTTTTCTTTTTTGTTTGTTTGTTTTTTTTTTACTTTCCTGTGTTGCCTCCTTACAGGCATGCCACCAACCATTTTAGTTCTAGTCCTCTCATTAATTGTTATGTGGTCTATAATGTTGATTTAAAATGTCAGAAAGGCTGGCTATTCCACTCTTACAAGGATTTTAAAGAGGCATGTCCCAAAAATATTGTTATTCTTTTGGCAATTAATGTTTTGAAAATTACTTAAAACTTTGTAAAGTGTTGAAAAATTACCACGACTGAAGTCGTGTGGCTCTGCAAAAGAAGGATGTTGTATTTTAAAATGTAGCTGAGTTTTGCACTTTCAAATTTGATTTAGATTCACTGAAGTGTGTGAGGGACAGTACACATTTTTTATTTCAAAATCCTATACATACAATCTTGTAAAACAAATCATACTCACCATCATAAAAACGTGAAAATGTGTATTCCTAAATAGCTATTTGTTTAAACGTTCATATCTATTTTAAATGACAATCTTCACATATTTTGTTAAGTTGCTGTTTGTAGCTATCATGTTTAATTACCAGCTTTTTGCTTGAAACTAAATACTTGTTTGAAAATACAGAAAAAATATGAAAGTTTGAAACTCCATCCATTTATTTTCATGTTTATATTTATCCCTGATGTGTGTTTCTTGCAGATACACAGCTCATCCCCTCCTCCAGTGGAGTTAAGGTCAAAGTTCAGTAGAGGGTCATCACTCCGCCGGTCATCATATGCCATTTCCCAGGGTGCCGGGCCTGGGCGCCTCATTAAATCCGCAACTTCCATTCGAAATACAGAGACGTTAAAAGATGAGAAGGTGAATATCAGTAAAAAGCCATCTGATATTTAAGGGCATCTAAGAACAAGCAGTCTACCCTCTGCTTTGGCAAAGTGCTTTATTTAGCTTTTTTAGGCAGATAGAGCCCAGATAGCTGTTTCCTGAGACCAAGAAATCTTAAGGGCTATGTGGTGCCCCACAAAGTTGGCAGGAGGGTCATTGTTTCTGCTAAATAAACCCAGGGGAAGGTTTTGATTAGAAAATGCTGAATTTTGAATAGACTTGGTGATGCTACATTGACATGTGCTGCATGATTTGTATCTGACTGCTACAGTAACAGTACAGAAACAAAGTCCAGTTGATTGTTTTTTTTGTTTTTGTTCTTTTAGGAATTGTGCAATGAAATGAAAATCCTATACTGACTATGCATCTATTTGTACCCACTGTGGGAACTATGCTAGGAGCAAATAAACTGTTGATTTGAAATAGTCTTTATTTATGGTTTCTTCAGAGTCTTAATCATAGTCGTATTTTACCATAATGAATGGGCCAATCCAGGGATCCAAATCAGATTAAATGACAATAGAATATAATAAAAGATTTTCTAATAATACAGAATGAAAAAATACAGTTATTCTTGCAAACATCAAACTAGTTTGGGGTATGGAGAGAAAGCAGGAAAGAATAAAAAGCAGTTCTTACGGTTATGTAATGCTAAATGTACCCACATGGTTTTATTGTTCCTTCATGAGTTCATAATTATTGCTTCAAAGTCTTGATCATAAAATGTGGACACAATGAGTTGTTCATGTATTTTCTATATGATCTCTGAGTCTCTAGGATTTTAATGTTTGCATAGCCCTATTTTACTAATAAAGAATATACTTGAAAATGTAATAACCTGCCTTTGAATTAATTCACACGAAAGAAATCGACAGGCCCACTTTGTTTTACAATTGTTTTATTTGTTAATTTATTTCAAAACACGCAATTTACCCATATTATCCTTTTAAGATTTTTTATTTTTCTGTAACAGTTATTACTCAGGTTTTTTACCTTCTCGAGAGTCTCAACTAGAGTGAAACTAAAAGTCCTCCACAGGCTCTCCGGCTTCTGCAGTGGGAGGAGGGTGGGAGAGAGGCTTTCTGATCAGATGTGAGCAGGTTGCTTCCCCATTTCTACCTGGACGGATACGTGTCTGCATCTGTGTGAAGGTTTGAATCAGAAAATGTGTGTGTATCTGTGTGCGTTTAAGTGCAAGACATGGAATGTCCACATGGCCGAGTAAATCACAGGAACCATATAGAACAGCCTGGAAAGCCATATATTGTCTTCCAGGTTTTGGCAGCCAGATTGTCGTACCTCTGATTTTATCTTTGGTTTCAGAAAAATAAGGAAACAAATATTGTCAAAGGGGCAGAGTCACCCTCCTCAGCATGTGCCTGTGTCTGTTTGTCTACCTGTAAGTCCATCTGAGTGCAATACGATCCACCGTCTCCAGACGACTTTGTAAACTTGAGTAAGAACAATGTTAAGCGTCTTTGCATTGATTGTGGCCCTTCCTTGGCGCTAGGGACAAAGACAGTCAAACATTGTGGGACAGTGGAGCCATGATCAGTGGAATGGGGCAGGAGGGTTGTAAGGAGAGGTGGGAGTAGGGGTCAACTTGCAAACATCGGCTTGGGCTACATTTTGGCGTCAGTGGCAGTTTGGGCTTTTGTGGTGAAAATACTGGGTGCTGCAGTGCCACTCTATCCCCGGCCGCTCAGAGCAAGAATGAACCAAGCGACTGGTGCTGCTTCACCCTCGTAAGACTGGCGGGGCGAAAAGAGGTAGAGAAGGGTCCAAGTGTGAGAGTTAAAATGTGGAGTGGGGGGGCTGGGGGTTGAGGGTTATACACTCTGACCCAGCAGCAACGATTAAGATTGGGGAGGGTCAGGTGTTTGCATAGTTCTCTGTGCAAAAGCCACCAACCGGAGCCATTTTTATTTCCTCGCGGCTGGCTACATCATCATTAGATCAGCAGACAGTGGGTGATGGGAAGCATGGTCTTTGCACCAAAGCTCTCTGGTTTTGAGGCAGGAGATGAGGCAGAGTTAACAGTAAGAGAGGGCGAAAAGAGAGATTTTAGCCAATGATGGGGTGAATAATGAATGTATTTGAGCAAGCTGGAGGGGGTATTGGGGTGAGTCGTTTGGCAGTTGCACACTGCAGCTCATTTAGATCCAGAGAGCCTCTTCTCCCATGATTTTTACACTTCTATCCTCCCCTTCCTCCTCCCCACTGGCCTGCCCTCTCTCTACCTTTTTTCTTGTTTTGAAACTGATTGTCTTCTACCATCACAAAGACACTTGGTTCTGATTGATTAACAGGTAACAGAAGAGGGAGAGCACAGTGTGACTGGGGGTGTCTCTACATCGGTCCAGCCTGGACAAACCATAGAGTTCGGCTGTGAGACGTTGCCCGAAGCAAATGCTGTTTGACAGCAAATGTGGGAAACGTTTCAGGGCGGACACTGGTTTGCCATGGTACCGCTGTTGGTTGGTCAGTCAATCGGCAAGAAATGGTTTTAGATTTTTGCATGACAAATATTGCAACCCATAGCAATGAAACATAAAATAGAAAAAAACACTGTTTTCCACATAGGTACAAATGAACACATATACACAGGTTGAAGAAAAAGCATGTAGACAAACATACAGGCATATTCAAGGCCGCTCGGATCGGTGTGTGTCCCTCTGATTAACTCCAAGTAAACAGCCAGTCTTTGGAAAAGCAAGACACACGTTCCGAGACCCAAGTGTGGAACACGAGCTGAGGAATGAAGATTGAATGCTATTGATTAGGGAGGAGACAAATTTGACCTCCCCCAGCACACACTGCCCCCTACTGTCTGGATTTATATACATCAAAGAAACATTGGGGGAAGGGGGGGAAGGGTTGCAACAACACATGCACACAACCAGTGAATCCAACAGTGACAGAAAATCTAAAAACAACAACCCCTCCAACGCCTAAAACCCAAATACCTCCCACCCTTATTTTTTTTTTCTCGCATTTATTTTGATAACCAAAATATTCCCCCACCCCCATTTCCACCCACTCCCTAATCTGTCTATCCCTTTCCTCTCCCCACAAAATCACAGGTCATTCCTGTTGGTTTCTATACAGTTATACAATATCCATGCACAAAAGAAAAGGAAAAAGTGCACCTTCTTCTCAACAGTAGGTGCTGGTCTTTAATTATCTAAGAACATCAGGAGCACTTGAACACACCCAGGAACCTTTAAAAGTAACAGTTTTGTCTATTTTTTTTTTTCTTTTTTTATGTATTTCTTTTTTTCCTCAGAGAAAAGACAACTAAAAGGCAGAAGAAAGCTAACAATGAATGCAAGGTTATTCCTCCTTTGGTTTATCACATCAAATTTTGGGTTATGATTTAGTTCAAATTGTGTGTTGTTGTTTTTTGTTTGTTTTGTTTTCTTTGAATGTAGCTTCCTGTGAGAGAGCTTAAAAGTAGTTCCCTGCAAAAGTATTCACACCTCTTGGATTTATTCACATTTTGCCACATACAACCCCAGACCTTAATGTGTTTTGCTGGGATTTTATGTTATTATATGTAGCACATGACTGAGAAGTAATATTACAATAAGATCTTAAAAATTTAGTCTGTGGATGTATTCAGCCCCATTTTTTCCAACAACCCTAAATAAAGTCCAAGTACCACAGTTAAATATTGTCTATATATATTATTATTATTTTTAATTTTTTTGTGCATAAAATCAGTTATTATTTGAAGGCTGCAAAAGGTTTGTTAGAAACATAAGTAAACACGCTGCTTCCTAAAAAATTCAAGGAACACAACAGATTGGTCTTGGATATTCTAACTTGAAGGAAGATTACCTTATAAATCAATGGAACAGAACTTTTTTTTTTGAATCCATCGTCTAAAAAAAATTTGAAAAAAATATACCGCTGTTGCTGACCTGCCATGACATAGCCTTTGAATTAACTGATAATCCAGGCAAACAGAGGATTAATTGATTTATAAAAAAAGCTGAACCTTTGAACCTTGAAAAAAAAACCATTGTAGGGCTGCAGAATATCTTAGACTGATGGAGAGGTTTGCCTTCCTCCATGTAAACACCTAAATATGAAGCTAGCGCTGTTATGCAATACTTTGGGTTAAACTATAATTATATGCAAGAATGGCCTGGCCATAGTCAAGATCTTGACAAAACTAAGAATCTGTGGCCAAATGTGACTGGTTTCCATGGACAATCTTAATTCAAGCTAACGGAATGTTAGTTTGTAAAGATTAATGAGGGAAATGTTCAGTCTACAAACGAGTGAAGAATAAGAACTATTGATTCAGAAGAAGTTTTTCTCTATGACATAAGCTTCCACTTTAACTGCATTGAAGTTTGTGGTTGCAATGTCCCATGTGAACATTTTGAGGGGTGTGAATACAATTGCAAGTCCTTCTTGGTAAATAACCCTCTTTCTCTCTCTATCCTGGCCTTAGCCTTTGTCTTTTCTTTTTCTCAGCTTGTCCTCCACAGAAACATTCACAATGTCTTTTCCTTTTAAGAAAACAGTAAGTACATGCCGTAGCAAAAAACAAACCGAGGGAACGTACAAGAAAAATAAGCAAACGGATAAAAGGAATTTTTAACAGTATAAAGCTTCAAGTCACAAGTTCCAAAACTAACTATCATAAGTATCATAGTTTCATAATCATCGTTATCATTAGCAGTATTATTTTCAGTTTTAAATTACATAAAGTTTACATGAAAGGTTTTTGAGGTATTTCAGAATTAATTGTCAAACACAAGCCTACCAAGTCTTGGCACTAGCCAGGGGGAAATATTGTCTGGGCAGGAGAGGTGGAGGGAGGAGAGTTTGAGTCTTCCACACTTTTTTAGTGCAGCCTCTGTGCTTGCACGCAATGGACTTGTTTTTCTTTTTAAAATAGCAGACGCTCCAAGTGCTTAAACCCAACAGCCTTTTTTATGCTTCCTCTTTCTCTGTTACACAAAAATATCTCTGATGTGAGAAAGCCAAAAACAGCTGAGAGTGAAAGCACGTCAGGCAAAGGAAAGGAAAAACAAATTAAGAAAGCCTGGCGAGATGATTAACAATACAGTTACAAAGACTGAAAGATTTAGGAGTAACACATAGGTTTGTTTGAAATAAATGGTGTAGAGAAAATGTTTTATAGACTTTCTACGTGATAAAGTGCTTGTATTCTAGTGTATCAAGATGGAAAGTCAATATGAGAGAAAATGCTGACACAGCCCCCATTCTGTGTCCCTCTCTTTGTACCCCCCCCACCCCTCGCCTCTGTCAATCCAATTATGGGTGCATTGTCTGTGTGAGTGCATGTTTGTGAGAATGCGTGCATGCATCTTTGTGACTGCACATGTTTTATGTGTGTGTGTTTGTGTGTGACCAGTGCAGTCCCACCCGTGGTTGAAGGGAAAAGGCACTCAACTCTTTCTGCAAGGCAACCACCTCCTCCTAAGTGGCACGATGCAGTCTGACTGCACTGTCTGAAACAAATGTAATGTGCGTCTTTGATATTAGTCAGTATGAGAAATTTTGAGGAGAATAAAGGGGAGGGGGGAGTTTTTGTGTTGTTTAATAATTTGGGTTGGGTCCCCCTAGGCAGTTTGCGACTGGTAGGCTGCAGTATCTTTGGTATTAGTGGCGGTTTCACAAACCACTCAGCTTAGTGAGGTAGCCACACTGGTTCTCACTACAAACAAATGTCATTTTGTCAGCTTCATAACTAGAGAGCTGAGTCTATCTATCTACCTATGCTTACTTAATTGTACTAGTCGATTTTAGCTCATCTTCCTTTGGCGACGTTGACTCACTGCTTACAGCAGTATGACATTAGTCAGTGCCCCTCCATCAACTTCTCTGTAGTGACCATTTGTTGTCTAATCTGCACTGCTAATCTGACTACATTGTTGGAAATGCTACAGTTGCATCTTAAGACCACACAGATGACTATTAAACCTCAAAGCCGTCCTCCTCTGACAGAGCAAACCAAGTAAGCCAGGACGTTCTGAGGTCAAATTATGTCCCTCTTCTAGAGAGAAGCACAGTCCTGACATGAAACGCCAGAAAGGATGAAGCGTCCATCATTTCTTCTTTTTCTTTCCTGCAGCTCCCTGTTTTCTCTCTTGTCCTCTTCTTCCTGGAAATGTCTCCTTTAAGTCTGCAAAAAAATATATCCTTCAGCAGACCAAGTCCTTGTGTCCCCCTTTTTTCCATTGAAGAAGTCCTTCCTTTTTTGGTTCTTTGTTTTGTTTTTTTTAATTATCAACAAGGTGCCTTCCATATGCACAACAGAGCACAATAGTAACAAGAAATAGAAACTTTGTGTCTATGGTACTAATTAAATACCCGCATCAATATAGGGAGGGAGAGAGAAAGGGCGAGGGCCAATGGGGTTAGATTGGAAGGGCGAAAAAGGAGGTAGAGAACCAAAGATTTTGTGTGAAAATTTGTCCAGTTTTGTGTTTGAATCATTTTTTTTCCTGCTTTAGTTGTTTCAGGTTCTTTTTTTTTCTATTTTCTTTTACTAAAAAACAAGTATATTTGAATTAAGTTGAATGCTGATTGTTGCTATGGCACACACTGCCTGTCATCAGTGAGGTGCACTGTGGAGTGTGTGGACCTTAGTACCGTATTCTCACATTAAGGCAGTAAGCATTGGCACTGTTTGTTGCTGTGGGTGTGTTGGTTTTGCTTTGGGTTAGCTACTGTTCCATAACCGTAAGGTTTGCAATAAATTATTATTTTCAGAGTTTTTTTGCAGACCGAAAAAAATGAATGCAAAATATAAAGCCTCCAAACAAGAAATGCTTAAATTTAAACCTCCACTGAGTCTGTCTCGCCTTTCTGTTTCCCCCTGATGCACTTCTCTCTGCTTTTTCAGTAGTATTTTTTGATTTGTTAATTCCTGCCTACATACAGTAATTCCCTGCCTTTGCTAAATCCCTGCGTTATTTTCATCATTCGTCTCAACCACCCCCCTCCTCCAGTGCTGGTTGGATGAGGAACAACAATAGGATAATGGTAAAGTATTGATCCCCCTTCAAAGAGCTGTGAGGCCCTGAATGTGTTGTGCCGTGACTTCTCCTCAGCATCTAGTGCAGCATTTTTGAATTCTCCCACCTATCCCAACACCCCCTCCCTTTTTTTGTATTTTATTCTGCTGTTTACAGGTCTCTATTGACAACAGCAGGGGGCACTGTTGCTCTGCCAGTGTGGACAGGACCAGGACAAAGTGGTGTGCTGTTGGTTTGTTGCTTGCTGCTGTGGAGGCCTTTGTGTTGTCTTCTGTGTGCTCCTCTGCTTTTTTTTTTTAATACGCAGCTGTAATGTAGTTTGGCTGGATGCCCGAGCGTGTTGTTGTCATCGTTCGGTTCCCAGCTATTGATTCAGGCTCCCAGCAGAACAAAGAGCATGTCCAGACATCTTGCCGGCCCCTCCATTTGGTCAGGGAAACTCAGACTCTGTGGGCTCAGGCTAGGAGTAACAATGACATCTCTCCCTGCAGGCCCTTTGACATCTGTGCAAAAATATAACCTGGGCCTGGAAGAGGTTGAGATCTCCTGCTGAGAATCTTGAATTTCACCTTCACAAGGCAGAAAGGGGGGGTGGGGGTCAAGGAGCCACTTTCTCCATCTGCATCGATTCATTTTTCAATTCATTAGTTTGCTGTATGATCAGCCTGAGCTGCTCTCTGAAATGGCTGGTCATCAGGGAATACCTTTGGCTGAGAAATGAAGGAGACTACAGGGGGAAAAGGGAGTGGAGGTGGAGGCAGCAAATTCAAAAACCTTCTTGTTTTTTCACAAGCTGCACAATTTTCTTGACGACGCCTTCCCTCTCTCTACATGTGTGAATGTGCAGGATGGGGCACTGATAATAAGGCTATGTGCTGTTGTCTCGTCAGATTTATTGCCGTTCTTTTGCCCTTGTTGCTTCCATAGAGAGGACATGACAAAGGAGGCAGACACAAAGGAGGTGAGTTAAGGGTTGTTGGTAGGGTGGCTAAGGAGGAGGCTGGCAAAATGTAAAAACCGTCCAAGAAAATGATCAAATCTTTGGTGTCTCTTTGCTTTGTCAGATGTTTTTAAAAAGATTTTTAAAAACAAAACACAAAAAAGACTAAATCAATGATTGTCCTTGTGTGAGTAAAGCAGAGTGAACCTGACTTCACACCTCACCTCTTAAATTCTACTTCTTTCAAGTGAGAGTTTGAGATTTTGACTGACAAGAATGATGATTGCATGGCACGAAGGGTTTTTTTTTCAGGCAGTCCAGGCCAGGTAGGGTCATCAGAGACAGGTTTCACAGCCACCTCCTTGTGACGCCTGCTGCTCCAAACCTGGCTACCCAGCACTCTTGAAGGCCTCCTCCTTCATCTCTCAGGCCTTGGAGAAAGTGGTGGTGGAGGTTCCCGGCTGCCCGGGGCTGGCCCCATGGTCGTCGTGCCAGCGATCCACGCACCGGCGGCGAGCATTCATGAAGAAGTTGCTGACGGTGCTGAGTTCCAGGCCAAGCTGCTGGGAGATGGTGATCTGCATTTCCTTGGACGGGCGTTTGTTTTCCTTAAAGATGGCGATGAGTGTGCGACGCTGCAGGTCCGTGAAGACTAGACGCTGTTTTTTAGGCGCTGTGTTGCGGTCCTTGTGTTGCTCCTGTTCTTTGCGCTTGCAGGCTTGGTTTGGGTGGCAGCGGTGGGAGGGATGTCGATGAGAGCAGGAAAGCCGAGAAGAGAAAGAAAATAAACAAAGAAAAAAATAAGGTAAATACACAGAATTGATTAAGAAAAACAAAAAGAGACCTCAGAGGATAATTAAAAAGTAAATCCTTGCAAATGTATTAATATACAATACTAAACATTTTAACCTTTTTTCATGCCACCACCACAATATTTAATGTTTTCACTGATTGATCAACTCATAATCAAACATGATAGTGAAGTGGAAAAAAATGAAAACTTGATTTTTCTACATTTCTAACCAAAGCAAATATGAAGAACTTATGTGCATTTCTTGTGTGTGTTTGCTTATAGGAAGGTGCGTTCTAGCTACAGACGGATCACACTTCTCAGCCTCTGCAGGAAGGCCTTTACCAGGTTGATGGAGAGGAGTGTCTGTCTAATTGCTGAACCTTGGCTTTAGGAGGAGAAGTTTGGTTTTTGACCCAGCTGCAGGACAACGGACCACCTCTACACCGTCTGGAGAGTGTTTGAGGATCTAGGGGAGTTTGCTCAACTGGTCCACATGTGATTTCTGAACCTGGAAAAGGCCTTTGACTGTTGGCTTTGTCAATACAATGGACAAGTTGGGAGAGAGAATGTTTTGCCTTTGTGGTGCCCTGTGGGGATGACTACAGGAGTGCTGGGTCAAGGGCCCCTTTACAAGGGTCCATCTGGTCTCTGTACAAGTGGAGCAGGAGTTTGCTCCACATAGCCGGCATTAAGTCTGTGTATGTTGGACTCTGTGCCCTCTGTCACTTGTCCCATTGAAAAACTTGATGTACAAGGCTTCTAGGTGTAGCCAAGAACTAGAGGGGGTCTGGTTTGGGAACCAAAGTCTCTACTTTTTGCAGATGACTTGGTTTTCCTGGCTCCCAGCTGCTAAGACCTTAGACAGTTTGCATCCAAGTGCATACCAGCTGGGGTAAGGATCAACTCCTCCAAGTCTAATGCCATGGTTTATATCCAGAAAAGGGTGGGTTGCCTCCTTCAAGTTGGAGGAGGGTTCCTGCCTCAAGTGGAGGACTTCTGGGGTCCTGTTCAGGAGCGAGGAGAGAATGGAGCGGTAGATCGATAGATGGAACCGTACGGCTGCTGCTATAATCAGGACACTGCACAGGTCTGTTATGGTGTAGAGAGAGCTCAGCCAAAATTCAAATCCTTATTGACCAGTTTGTCTCTCCAGAATTCATGACCATAGGTGAGAGCAGGAACACAACTGAGTGAAGAGATTGCCTATTTGGGAGAGGATTGGAGTAGAGCCACATCTCCTCCCCATTAAGAGAAGTAAGCTGAAGTGGCTCAAGCATAGTTTTCAGATGCCCCTTGGGTGCTTCCCTCTATAGGTGTTCCAGGCATGTCCCACTGGGAAGAGGCCCAGTGAACGACCTAGGACACGATGAAGGGACTATATCGATCATTTGGCTTGGAAACGCCTAGGGCATCCAAGAGCGGAGCTGGTGGAGGTTCCTGGGGAGATGGAAGTTTGGGAGTTTCTGGTTTGACTGCTGGCCCCTGTGACCTGGTCCCAGAAAAGGGGAAGGTGATGGTGACCTTTCATTGTAACTGTAGTTGTATATTCAGGTTCATCCTTTACTTAAAGATAATAATCTATACAGTCTTAAATCTTTTCCAGCGACTACCATATTTGTTGGCTATCTATATTTCCCATCAACCCTGACTACCTTCCTTTTCCCTGCTGGAGAAAGACATCCCCACACCATAATACTGCCACCACCATGTTTCATGGTGAGAATGTTAGCTTACCTTAACATGTTTTGTTTTTTTACCTGCTGGCCAAACACTTCCTACTTGTTTTCCTTGGAATAGAGAACCCTCTTCAACCCTCTTCATTTTATTTTCCCCTACTTGGCCTTTTACACATTTTAAACATACATTTCTTTTACATCCTGCTCCCTATCAAAGGCTTGCCCCATCTCGATCACGCTACACTCTTACCATTTTTAGATGAGGGGCTGAATAGTTCTGTGAATCATTTAACTCTTTAAGTGTTGTTTTATTACCCAAATGTGCCCTAAACTCCTTCAAACCTCCATCCCACAGAGGTCTGCCATTTCCCTTGGCCTTTCTCACAAGATGTGTTTACCAATCTTATTCAACAAACCTCCAGGGCCTTCCCAGAACAACCTCATTTATACTGAGAACATATTATACATCGTTTGACTCTATTTACACATCGGTTGAATATTGCAATTGGGGTATCAAACTGAAGTGAAATCTTACAACTGCTTCAAGGTTATTAACAAGTTTGGGTTTCTCTGCCATATCAAGTATTAATTAGACAAATTTAAGTTTCTTGATTTAGCATGACAGGATGTAAAAAAAAGTGTTTGTGGCATGAGTATTTTTGTAAGGAACTGTATTAACTAGTATTTAGACACATAAAACCTGTTTAAACAGCAGCAGCAAGGCTACAGCTCCATCTCTATTGCCATATTAAAGTTGATTTAAAGCTAATCCATGCGTCCTTCCCAGTGGGAATATTCCTTCCATCCTGTGTAGTGCAGACAGGGAGCCAGCCTGCGGTGAGAGAAAGATTGGGTGGGGAGGGCAGGGCAGTGGGACTGGCTGTTGCCAGCTAGCTGGAGACACTGCTGTTTGATTCAATATTAATGCAGTTTGAGTCGCAATGGGGGACTGAATGACTGATGCACAAAAGTAAGCATTTTGTGTTTCAGTGTGTATGTGTGTGCGAGTGTTGTAAATGAGAGACAGAGGAGACATCGAAAGAATAGAGAAATGAAAATAAAAGATGAACGGGTAAGACACAGTGTGTGTGTGTGTGTGTGTGTGTGTGTGGGGGGGGGGGGGGGGGGGGGGGGGGGGGGGGGGGGGGGGGGGGGGGGGGGGGGGGGGGGGGGGGGGGGGGGTGTAGGTGTGTGTGTGTGTGTGAGTGAGTGTAAGAACCAAAGATGGGAGCCAAGAAGAGGAAGGCGGGGTGTTCATGTGAAGGAGAAAGCAAGATATTGACCGACTTGCTGTAGGAATTGGGGAGGGAGGGGTTCTGTAGGGACTGAGGTCAGATCCCCCCCAGCAGGTCTACAGTCTGTTACTTCAAACAGAGCCCACTAGAGCCCACTCTATAGAGCTCTGAGAGGGTATTTATAAACCCTCCCGTCCCCCCTTTCCTTCTCTTTCCCCAAACGCAAACACTTGAGAGGTGCTTGCACCGGCTACTATGAGCTCCCTTCCATACACAGAGCAATTTTCAAAAGAAAAACGGTGCGCTCCCACATTTGGGAGGGGGTCCAGTGGGGTGAAGGGGTTTGTGCAGCGAACGCAGAAATTAATAGTTAATTTCTGTGCTGTATGTGGGTAAGAGTTTTAACTCTATGTGTTTGATGTGTGGAAAGCAGCAGACAGGTGGAAAGTAGAAGGTAGAAATGGTGGATGGCTGCGGCTCCACCTTAGAGCCACATGTTCCCCTGCTGACCAAGGATCGAATCCTCCATAACAGACCGCGCATCCTACTCAGCTTCCCCACTGTCTCAATTAAAAGAGAGCAAATCGGAGAGAAAGATGCCATCCCAGCGGGGCCTCCACCTGCTGCCGTCAGTATTGTCTCATACTTTCATACCTCCTTTAGTAAATGTCTCACTCTTGTGCTGCGTCTGGATGCATTTAGGGATGGATTTTTTTTCCTGTCTCCTATACTCTTCATCTGTGTGTGTGTCTGTGTGTAAGTGTGTTTGGAAGGTGGCTGTGATTATGCTGAAGTGGCTGGAGCCAAGCAGTGGCTCTGTGTGTCTAATTACAGTGGAACAGAGCCCATTGATCAGCCATTGCAGTCCAATCTGTTTACTACAGATGTCTAACCTGCACACTTACACATCCATCATCTTCATATTTCAAATCAACACTGGTGCTAATGTGCTGCACTCGGATTAGTCCAAAAGCATGCTTGTGTCTGTACATTTACATATCATCACATAGAGTACTTTGATTTATTAAAGGCATAAGAGCAGGGGAAAAAGGAAAGTGATTTTATTATTTGGCAGTTTTACAACATTTCTTGGAATAAAAGTTAGATTCATGTTCTCTGTCATCATATATCACAATATTTATTTTTTGATTATTGTGATGATTGTTCTGGTGGTGATTAATCTGCTGTTTCCTTATGCTTCTTTTACTTTTTCCTATCCTTAATTTCCTGAAGGTTTTCTTGACTTTATTGCATCTCAGGTTCCTGCTATTAGGTGTTAGCTTTAGAAAAAGTGCTAACCTTCCAGATGATCAAAAAAAGAATACATTACCCCATGAAAAATTAGCCTGACAAATTGTGTATAGACTCTGTCCTAAACAATGGTGATATTTCAAAGAAGTTATGTAAGTGTAGTTTGGTATATTAGGCAGTTCTATCTTCTAACAGTGATTACTTTAAAATGTTTTTCTCCTTATAATTTCTGTGACATTTAGCTGCAAACACAGGCCAAAATAAATACCAGCTGCTAATTCCAAAAAACAAATACTGGAGGGTAGCATTCATTTGTCAGTCATCGATATGGCAATAATCTATAATTTGTTTAACTGCTAAGATAAGTATGTGTACATATATACATAAACACACACACACATATATATAAATACACATATAGGTGAGGATCTCTCTTATTACACGTTTTTGTATAAGATCACAATGACCAGGGAGAAGTTACAGCTTTATACCCATCAAAGACATCTTGGACTGTCTGGATCAAACTTAGAATGGAAGAGGATTTGTTACCCAGCAGGGTGGCGAGTCTGAACAGGCGTCACAGCCCAGCCGGGTCTGTTTGAAGATCACAAAGGAGCTGACATGATGGACATGTCTATCCACTCTACATCCCTGGCAGTAGTGAGAAATGCATAAGCTACTCACAAGAAACTCTAGAAGTTCATGAAAATGGGAAATTGCTATTAGTTTAAAAATGTATCTATCTAAAAATGAAATTATTCAA